CACACACACACACACACACACACACACACACACACACACACACAATCAATTAATTACTGATAAGGATATAACCAGTATTAATAAAAATTGAATCATGTTTAGTCTGTATTGGTTCCATGTAGGCCTGTTGCTTTGAGGTTTGAGATACCAAATCGTTGGAGGTGAAGACTTGAGTTGCAGACAGATCTCAGCAGCTGCGATGGCTTCCATGATGGACCTGCCGGAGGTTCTCGTCTCACGTAGCTTATAGATGGAACGAGGTAAGGGAGAAAGTGGCCCCTTGTTTCTCTTATACTATATTGCAGATGTGGCCTTTTTTCAACACTGTTGATTACAGCAGTCACCTAGATGGACTTGTTCATTCTTTTTTCCTTTCCTGGTAGCTTGTCCTGCCTCGACAGGTAGCAAAGTTGGCTGCAGTGACACGTTACCAGGCCAAACTTCCACATCATGCTCCGAGTAAGGCAAGAGGTAATCCGATTTACACTTAGAATGCCTTTCAAGTCTGGATCATTGTTCTTGGATTAGTTTTGACAATGGTATGTGTGAAAGTTCCACAAGAATCAAGACTTGGAACCTATCAGAAGCTCCATGAACATTGAAATGCAAAAGCTCGGGTGAGCCTTGGAATCCATTTTTGAAAGTCTTTAATCTCAGTCCACGATACAGATGTAATTTTTTAAAGCTGTCTTATAACATTTTGTAACATAATGACTGCAAAAGCGTAACATCTTGTAGTTCAAATTTTGAACAAAAAAATTTTGTTTGCTGTGAATGAGCAGTAGGAATGGTTTGACTTCCTGGACAATATCTTGCCTTCTCTATTGCTCAGAGGAATAATGGAATGTAAAGACATGGATAAGGGCTCAAGAAATTCTGTCCGAGGTGCCAGTAATTGTCTGTGGTGGTTAATTGAGCTCCGCTGAGCTCACTTCTGTAACTATGTTTGGATATCCTTCACTTCCCCTTTCCGCTATTAGATTTTTGAAGTCTTTTCTACTAATAATTTGATTGGCCTGGAATTTTGAAGATTTATGGAGAGTCCATAGCAAAGCAAAATGGTGGGGTGACCGTGGATCAGGAAGTCTCACAGCTGTTTCTGGCAGAAACCGCTTTAACTGGGTGGACTTGGGGAAGTAGTAGTTGAAGGATGGAAAGTGACTTCAGCACGTGAGAAACTGAATCCGGTGATTTCAAAAATGTACCCCATTTAGAAACATAGACACTAGAAGCAGGAATAGGCCATTCAGCCTTTTGAGGCAGCTCCACCATTCAATATGATTATGGTTGATCGTGTATCTCAAAGCAATATTACCACATTCTCTCTGTACCCCCTGATGCTTTTAATACCTAAAAAATTGTCAGTCTTTTTCTTGAATATACTCAGTCATCCAGCCTCCACAGCTTTCTGTGGTCACAAATTTCAGATCGACCACTCCAAGTAAAGAAATGTTTCTTCATGTCAGTCCTGAATGGCCTATCCTATATCTTAAGACTCTGATCCCTGGTCTAGACATTGTCAGTTTCCCAACCCCAGGGGAACCAACCTTCCTGCATCTTGTCTAGGCTTGTTAGAATTTTGTATGTTTCAATCAGATCCCCTTTCATTCTTGAAGTGAGTATAGGCCTAGTTGAACCAATTTCTCACAGGATGATTTCAAAACACAAGCTTTCAGAGCCTCACTCCTTCTCCAGTGTGTTAATGAGAGAGATAGTATCAGACACAAAATTTATAAGTAAAGGATCAAAGGGTCACACCACTGATAAGGATGTACTAAACAACCTAAGATGCTGTTAAATCTTTAATCAGTTAGAAGGTTTTAACTGATTAATATGTAGATGTAAATCCAAATCCCCGACTTCCTTCCAAGTCCCTGTCCTGAGAACTAAAGGTTTTATCAGTGTAAAGAATAGATGACATTTTAGGTCAGACAATTCACATTAGGTGTGAAGCCTCGTACAGAATCTGTTTGGTTTGGCGTCAGACTGATTTTATTTCTGAAGTAGTAATTTATAACATGCCACGTTGACTGTCTATAACTTGTGTGGGTTTTGAACAAAATAGAATGTATCTGCAAATACAAATTCACCCAATTGTTTTATGCACGTGTGTGTGTGTTTGCATGTGTGAGAGAGAGAGACAGAGTGTGTGCGCGAGAGTGGGTAGACAGGGAGGGAGTGTGTATGTGGTGGGAGGGGGACAGGGAGGCAGTGCGCGCATGGTGGGGGAGAGAGGGAGGGAGTGTGCATGCCGGGGGGAGAGAGGGTAGGTGGGAGTATG